GTTCCATTTGTGATAGCAGATGCGACTACACTAACTCAGGTATGTTGTTATCCTGTCACCTTGGTAGAGATCTAAAACATCTATCCCAGCTTAATAATCTTTGCAAGAAATCAATCTTTGTCTAAATCTTGTTCCCTTCCACGCATTGTTGTTTTTGCGCATTATGTTAATTTGTTTGAACATTAGAGATCCCATAAGCCTGAGGAACCGTCTCCGAATAGTCTGTTTGAGGTCAGATTTAGGTTGTGGAGGGTGGGAAATCTGGATTAACTCAGGGCTGCAATTGAGCTGGTTGCAATTTGATTCATTGTAAATGAAGAAGACCTGTCTAATCTATTGAAGATGAGAATGTTTTTAAGTACTGGTGTTGTCAATTATTACCATTAGGACTAAAATAGGGAAAACCTTGTTTTGTCATTCCAAGAGATTGATACCTATGCAAATAGATAGAATGAGACTTGATATCCTAATTTTGGCTAACATGAACATACAAGATGCCCATGATCATCTATCTCTATCTTGAGTTTTTTGATAAGGTAAATTGTATTGATCAAAAGGGAGAAAACTCCCGTATACAAAGAAGTATACCAAAAAGTAGAGAATTTACATCAGAACATAATTCTCTACAAATGACGCTCAATCTTCGATACAAGTAGGGGCTATATGAGTGCACCAAAAAGCGATCAAAGATAAGAGACTATTCTTAAGATGTGAAAAAGGAGATTCAATCCCCTCAAAAGCTCTCCTGTTTCTCTCCCCCCAAACTATCCACATGAGAGCTAACGGGGCGAACTTCCACGCCATTAGCTTTCTTTTTCTATGGAAACCCACCCAGCTATATAAGATTTCCTTTACAGTGCTTGGCATCACCCATTGAACACCAAAAAGATTCAGGATTGCCCTCAACAAACCCGAGGACACAGGGCAATGCAACAAAAGATGATCAACTTCTTCCCCTGAGCTTTTACACATGTAGCACCAACTAACAAGTGTAATTCCTCTCTTTCGCAGATTTTCAGCAGTCAAGATCACTCCCCTCGCCGCTAGCCATGCAAAAAAGCACACCTTCGTGGGCGCCTTAGGAATCCAGATCGAGGAGTATGGAAAAGTGGCCTCCTCTCTCACTAACATACTCTGGTAAAAGGACTTTACGGTGAACAAACCATCGCCACGCAACCCCCATCTCCAAGAATCACAGGATGGCTAGGGCCTGTCTTGCCCATATAGCAGTGCCAACAAATTTTGGAGCTCCACAATCTCCCAATCTTGAATGTTCCTTCTAAATGAGAGGTCCCATACTACCCCCATGCTCCTTGCGAATCTGTTGAACCATCAATTCTTTCTGGTTTGAAACTCTGAAGACGTGGGAAAAGTGACCCTCAGAGTATCCTCTCCACACCACCTATGATTCCAAAAGCTGATTCTCCTTCCATCTCCCACCTTGTAAGTGATGTTGCCATTGAATGCTTCCCAATTCTTCATGATGCTCCTCCACATACCACACCCGAAAGGTGCTGTGATCGCCTTGGTCCTCCAACCCCCTCCCGTGGAATCGTACTTTTCTACTATGACCTCCCTCCATAGAGCATGTTCTTCTACCCCGAATCTCCACAGCCACTTTCCCAACAAAGCTTTGTTGAATACCCTAAGATCTTTTACTCCAAGTCCACCTCACTTCTTTAGGGAAGTGACTGTCTGCCAGTTCACTAGATGAAACTTTCTAGTTCCATCCACCGCATCCCAAAGAAAATTCCTTTGAAGCCGCTCCAGTTTTTCCGCGATGCTCACAAGAGCTTGCAACAGGGACAAGTAATAGGTGGACATACTCGATAAAGTGCTTTTAATAAGCACTTCCTTACCGCCTTTTGGCAAGTACCGTTTCTGCCAGCCTGCTAATCTTTTTTCAACCCTTTCGATCACTGGATTCCAAACCGTAGTATCCTTATGCTAGGAGAATCTCACACTTGCCGAGATTGATTTTGAGTCCTGATACTATCTGAAACCACTGCAGAACCTGCTTCAGGTAGGTCAATTGAACCATATCGGCATCATAGAAAGGGCACTGGGCGCCCCGATCGGTGCTGAGAATCCTCGCAAGAAGCCTCTGCCCGTCGCACGATCCAACATTTTACTCAGAGCATCCATCACTAGAATGAATAGCATGGGGGATAGGGGGTCACCTTGCCTGAGACCCCTGGAGCTGTCAAAGAAATCACACGGGCTACCATTAACCAGGATAGAGTATCTGACTGAAGAAATGCAGAACTTGATCCATCCCCTCCATCTTACCCCAAACTCCATCCGCATCATAATGAAATCCAGGAACTCCCAATTGACATGGCTGAAAGCCTTCTCAAGGTCCAGCTTGCATAGTAAGTCGGGTTCTCTATTTTTCCTTCTGGAGTCTACAAGTTCATTTGCCACGAAAGCAGCGTCCAGGATCTGCCTACCTTCCACAAACGCATTCCGGGAGGACAAAACAAACACGTCAAGAACCTTCTTGAGTCTAATGGATAGCACTTTAGAAATAATTTTGTAAATGCTCCCCACGAGACTAATAGGCATGTAGTCTCTGATACAAGATGCACCTTCTTTCTTAGGCACAATGGTAATAAAAGAAGCATTGATACTTCTCTCGAAAACACCATTCACGTGGAAGTATTCAATGGCTTCCATCAACTCCCTCTTAATGGTGTCCCAACAGAGCTGGAAGAAGGCCAAGGAGAAACCATCGGGCCCGGGGCTTTTTCACCAGCACAATTCGGCACAGCCTCGTGCACCTCCTCCTCCTCGAAAGCCCTTTCTAGCCACTCACTGTCTCCCTCCCCTATGTGGTTGAACTCTATTCCCCCAAAGTAAGCCTCCAAGTAACTTCCTCTTTGTATAAGTTCTCATAAAAACCCACTATCGTCCCTTTTACCTCCTCCTCTCCCTCAATCCTCACCCCATCTACAACTAAGGACTATATGAGGTTTCTCCTTCGATTTGCAACCGCAACCCTGTGGAATTTTCGGAACTAAGATAATTTTCGGAGCATGTTTATTTAAATCCTTGCTTACCGTGTTCCCAAAACTTAATTCTTGATGGTCTTTTCTAGAAGTAGAATAGCAGAAACCATTCGATGTTACTATTAAAAATAATTGGCACCTTGATGGGAGTCCAGAGCTTTAGGTTCCTATTCATGACAATACTTTTGTCTGCAGGCAGGATATGTTGGGGAAGATGTTGAATCCATTCTATATAAGCTCCTTACTGTAAGTACTATACCTTTTCAGTCTTTAATCTCAGTTTATTGTTTTATTCCCATATCTCATTTGAGTATTTTACCAGGAAAAAAGAAGAAATATTATCTTATCATCCTTGCCAACTTAAGCATAGGTTTTAATTCTAGCTTTTTAGATGTGATGCAGAAAAGTGCTTATTTGATGATTTTGCTGAATATGATGAGTAGATATAGCCTATAGGATGTTTTGTTCCCAAACTATTTGGTGTCTAGAAGTCTATAGAACCAATTGCAGCCTTTTTCATTTCTGTATTTACAGTAATTTTCTGTTTTATGTGTCTAATTACCTCCATATCATTCAAATATGTTTATATCATCACCAGCAATCATTGCAATATCTAATTTAGGGTTTAGGAATGGAGGAGGAAAGAAAACTGCTTACTACTTGTGAGATGTTCTTGCTTTTTAGTCGGAACATAATATTGTTTTGCATCCTTTCCAGTGATTTCTAGCCTTGATATGTGTTATCCTTTGATTATTCTGGTCTGACTTTATTTCAGGTTGCTGACTATAATGTAGCAGCTGCTCAGCAAGGCATAGTGTATATTGACGAAGTTGACAAGATCACGAAAAAGGTAGATGTTAGCTCATAGACTATACTTTCCTTTTTCAGATTAAACTTTCGCTGGCGACTTTTCATGTGTCAATTTAGCTGATTCCTATTATACTGACATTTCCAGGCTGAAAGCCTCAACATCAGTAGGGATGTCTCAGGAGAGGGCGTCCAGCAGGCATTGTTGAAGATGCTTGAAGGAACAGTAAGTGTTTACCTTAGTTTTTGCTTGTTAATCGTGAATTGATCTTCACAACTTTGATCAAATGTGGGTATTAATTGATGTCGCAAATGCAGAAGCGACTTTGACTGTTATTGCTCTGTTAAGATTAGAGCTAGACAAAAAGCTTTTGTATACGAAAATCACCGAGGTATGATAGACGGAGATGTTACTCATAGGATAAAAATAGATGGTTGAAATGGAGAGGACTACCGGGGTGTAATGTGATGGAAGGATACCCACCCAAGTGAAACGTAAGTTTTATAAAATAGTTGTAATAATATTATATGAGAGTGAATGTTGGTATAAGATGAACTTAAAGGAACAGTATGATAATTGAGGATTCGTATGGGCGACTTGCTTTGAAATGAGATGTAGCTGCATATGAAAGTTAACAGGCTGTTGGCTTAGTGTTGGCTGCTTTGTATTACTGAACTAGGTTAGCTGCTTTTTAGATCCCACTGACTGGCTGAATGTGGCTCATCAACAATGAACTAACGTTTATATTGCTGGTGGCCGTGATACCTGTTTCATCGCTTTTTGGTTTCACGCTACAGTCTGCACGTGCTAACAATTCTTTCCTCTTTCTTCTCTACTCTGATGATGCTTGTCAGAACTGATTGAATGTTGTGTCTCCAAAGCATTCGAAAAAGGATGGTATGGTTTCTAATGACCTTTAGATGTGCCATAGAATTTCTGTGATAATGGCCTGACTGTCTTAGTCGGTGGACTTACTATAACAGATCAATTTACAATCTATAGTTCAGTGATATGATTAGAAAAATGAATCGTTGCATCATTTGTTTGTTACTATAATGAGTTTTCTGTTATACTTATCCCAAAAGAAAAAATATTGAGCTTTTTGTACCCATCGTAAAAATAATGAGCTTTCCGGTGCAGATAGTCAATGTGCCGGAGAAGGGAGCTCGGAAACACCCTAGAGGGGATAATATTCAGGTAAGATGGTTATAAAAGCACTTCATTTTTGGGATTAAGGTGTTTCTTTCCTAATCAAGAGAAATTTGGAAGTCCTGCTGCAAGTAAAAATGTTGTTCTTAGTTCTTTAGTGTGAATTACTTTACTATCGATGAGCAATTGTGTATCATTTACTGTCTTTATAAGTAAGATATATTAACTGCTTTGTTCAGCCTTCTGGTGTGGGTAGAAGACATTTCTTACGCTTTTTCTATTTCTGTTTGTTGGACGCCCATTTGAGCCCCTTCTGCCATGCTAGGTTATATTGTTGGTTTGATGTTTTACAGATATGTATCTTTGAGCCAAAAAATTCCCAAACCTCTCTATAACAACCTCGTTTGTTCCGAATATTTTTGGATGTTCTAGCGAAGTGTTGTTATAGAGGACATATATTATAACTTAACATAAAAATTCGTTCCGAAAAAGCTTGGCTTTTATAGGGGAGTGTTGTTATATAGGGATACTGTTATAGAGAGGTCTGACTGTATTAGCCTTGTTATTTATGTCATTACAGATTGATACGAAAGATATTCTCTTTATATGCGGTGGTGCCTTCATTGACTTGGAGAAAACAATATCAGAGAGGTCTTACTACTTGCCCATTGTAGTTCTTATTTTCTTTCCATTTAGTCTGACATCTACCTAATTCCTGCAAGATATACTTGTTGATGTTTTCAGGCGCCAAGATTCTTCTATAGGGTTCGGTGCACCAGTTCGCGCAAACATGAGGACTGGTGGTGTTACAAGTGCTGCTGTGACATCATCTTTATTGGAGATAGTAAGTTCTTCAATCTTGCAGCTTGGCAGACCGACCAGAGCATATATACTAAAGAGTACTTTTAGCTTGATTGTGGTTGTATTTTGCATGATCATAGATGTAGCACCATATTATCTGAAGTAAGAAACTGATGACTATGGAAATGCTAAGACGCTTATCGTCCCAATAAATTTAGTTGCATATGCATCAGATGAAGTCAGATATTTGCAACAACATGAACTGAGATAGTAACTTACTAATGTGCCAAGTTGTGAAACTGTGTCTTTACCATTAGTTATCATTAGTCTCCTGCATGTCGAACGCCCTTTTACTGGAATTCGGTGTTCTGCTTGTTGTATTTTGAGCAGATGGAGTGCCTGTGTTTCATTTACTTCCTCTTACCTTAAATAGTTGACCTTTACGCTTCATGACAGTCTTCATTTTCCATGTTCCATTAGAAGTGATCTTTCACTTAGATTTTTAAATGTATGTCTCTTGTCACTTTGATATTGGAAAGGTTCCGACTTATAGTACTTTCATGTAGTTTCTACATATTTAAAAGTTGTTGCCATGTGACCAGGAGGTCACCGGTTCAAGCCGTGGAAACAGCCTCTTGCAAAAATGCAGACTAAGGCTGCGTACGATAGACCCTTGTGGTCTGGCCCTTCCCCGGACCCGCGCATAGCGGGAGCTTAGTGCACCGGGCTGCCCTTTAATCTTTTAAATAAAATGGATTATTTTATGGCCAATTTAGCTGCACCGATAATAAAAGGGCAAACAAGTTTGCTTATCTACTTCTTTTCTGATGGGTAAGTTTTTGAAGTATTTACTAATCCTATTTCATAATTCTCCTGTTATGCAGGTTGAAAGTAGTGATCTAATATCATATGGTCTGATACCTGAGTTTGTTGGTCGATTCCCCATCCTTGTAAATCTGTCAGCTTTAACTGAGAATCAACTTGTGCAGGTAATGCTTATGTTTTCTGTAACTTTGGTTCTTTGCTTTATGCACATAATTATGGTTTTATGGAAAGCCGTTCTTTGTTTGAATAAGGTGGACATGGTTGGACATTATTTATGCCTTTGGGTTACTCTTCTAGGATTTTCATTCAGAATATGAGACTATATGCCAAATCTAGATTGATTGTTCCCTTTTCACTGTTTTGATTCTTTGCAGGTTCTAACTGAGCCAAAAAATGCACTAGGGAAGCAGTACAAAAAGATGTTCCAAATGAATGGGGTGAGTATTTGCCTCTCTAAGAAACTTCTCTGGATATGCATAAAGATGCATTTGCATTCTTTTATCTCTTTCAGATCCTGCACACATTTTATTTCTTTGGGCAAGGAGCAGGAAGGAACTTTTCTGGTTTTCCTTTACTTTTATTACCAGGAAGTTACTTTTCTCATACTTGGAGACTTCTTTCTCAGGTAAAGCTGCATTTCACTGAAGATGCGTTGAGATTGATAGCTAAGAAAGCTATATCTAAAAATACTGGTGCTCGTGGATTGCGATCCATACTGGAGAGCATCCTGATGGATGCTATGTATGAGGTGTGTAATTCGTCTCTCTCTATTTCTGTCTTTGGTTGACATACAGCATATAGCGAGGACTGCTTGGAAGAAATGTTCCTTTAGGTAGTGTATGCTGATCTTGAAATGAATTTACTAATTGTGTAAACCACAGTTCTTGGCATTTTGATATTCACTGAAAAATTAGGATTCGTTGTATGGTATTTCTCTCTGACTGGGGATAATCTGCTGAACATAATGTATTAAAAAAAACTGTGAGGCCTTATCTCAAATTGTGCACATCTCTGTAATTGTACTTAAAATATGCAGGTTCGACTCTGTGCATTTCAATATTACAGAGTACTCTAAGTTGATGGCAAATACTTGTTGGTTATCACTGAATATATGTGAAAAGCTTTAGCTGAAAACAGTTGTAAACTTCATTAACAGAAAACAATTAATCAAAACCTTGAGGGAACCATCAAAACAAAATATAAAATAAATAAATATCCGGGAGGGATACTGTTAGTTTACAGATATGTATAGTGTAGTCTTGTAGTGTATAGCTATAAATAGGGACCTCGTGTATTGTATTCATTATCTAATATCAATAACATATTTTCTCTCGTGCTTTCTCACATGGTATCAGAGCAATTGTGAGAGATTTATCGCTGTACATAAATTCCAGCGATTCCGGGAAGAGAAATAAGTCAGCGGAAGTCTTTTTCCGGCGACTTTTCAAGGTTGTTTTGCATCTGCTTCATCTCCGTCAGTGTTGTGCAAAATTCAACACTACCACAAGAGTCGTCACTGTCCGGCGACCAAACCTCAGTGAAAATCTTCGGCAGCAGCCTCCTCATGCGCCTCCACGCGCCACCATAAGCTCACGCGCCGGCGCGTACGACCACTTCCGGCCATTTTTTAAAAAACTCTGCGAACACTGGTCCGTTATCCTTCCACTGCACAAAGCGGGAGCTGTTCGTTGCTCTGTGAAACTAGCCTCACGCGGTCCACCCCTCTTTAGGTGCTAACTAGCCCATGTCTTTACTTGGGTCACGTAGCCCAACTCTAAGTTTGGAGAGGGCAGGCCAGATGATAGCCCACAAAGTCTTACCTTCTGAGTCAGCCCAACATCCCACTATTTCAATGCCCCCACTCAGGTTACAAGCTCACGTTACCTGGCTCGGATGGTAATTCCGATCCTAACCCTACTGTTTTCATTTCATTCCGACCACTTTGAGTTTTTTCCGGCAGCTACAATACGATTCTGACAGCTACAGTAAGATTCCGGCAGCTACAATATTTCCTTATTCTGTTTCTGTGTTTCCTTACTCTGTTTCAGCGGATTACAGTTGATTCTTTCTCTTATTTGGTAATAATTTGCAACGATGTCTTTGGGATTTGATGTTTTTGGGTCTAGAAACATGTGTTCTGGAAGCTCCAGTGCTATTATTACCTCGGAACCTTTAATGGGAGGTTCAAACTACTTAGCTTGGGCTTCATCTGTCGAGTTATGGTGTAGAGGTCAAGGTGTTCAAGATCATCTAATCAAACAGTCTAGCGATGGAGATGAAAAGGCAATAGCACTTTGGGCAAAAATCGATGCTCAGTTATGTAGCATCTTGTGGCGATCTATTGATTCCAAGTTGATGCCCTTGTTTAGTCCATTTCAGACATGTTATTTGGTTTGGGCAAAGGCATGCACCTTATACACTAATGACATATCTCGCTTCTATGATGTGATATCGCGGATGACAAACTTAAAGAAGCAGGAATTAGATATGTCTACTTACTTGGGTCAAGTACAGACAGTCATGGAGAATTTGAGAAGTTGATGCCAGTTTCTGCTAGTGTTGAAAAACAACAAGAGCAGCGACAGAAGATGTTTCTCGTTCTTACCCTCGCTGGACTTCCTAATGATCTTGATTCAGTACGCGACCAGTTTTTGGCTAGTTCGACTGTCCCGACAGTTGATGAATTATTCTCTCGATTACTCCGCCTTGCTGCAGCACCAAGTCACCCAGTGATCTCATCACAGATACTTGATTCCTCTGTTCAGGCATCCCAGACAGTGGATGTTCGGGCATCTAAAACTATGGAGCATAGACGAGGAAGAGGTCGTTTTGGAAGATCTAGACCCAAGTGTTCTTATTGTCACAAACTTGGACACACTCGTGAAATGTGTTATATCTTACATGGTCGTCCACCCAAAAATGCTTACATTGCTCATACCGAGACTACAGGTAACCAGGGATTTTCTTTATCTAAAGAAGAATATAATGAGCTCCTTCAGTATCGAGCAAGTAAGCAGACATCTCCACAAATAGCCTCAGTTGCTCAGACTGATACATTTGTTACTGGTAATTCTTTTGCTTGTGTTTCCCAGTCTAGTACTCTTGGCCCATGGGTCATGGACTCGGGCGCTTCTGATCACATCTCTGGTAATATATCACTTTTGTCAAATATTGTATATTCACAGTCTCTTCCCACTGTTACTTTAGCCAATGGATGTCAAACTAAGGCAAAAGGAGTTGGACAAGCTAATCCCTTGTCTTCTATCACCCTAGATTCCGTTCATTATGTCCCTGGTTGTCATTTTAGTCTTGCATCTGTTAGTCGTTTGACTCGTGCCCTCTATTGTGGTATATATTTTATTGACGATTCTTTTATTATGCAGGACCGCAGTACGAGACAAACAATTGGTATATGACGTGAATCAGAAGGCCTTTACTACCTTAACTCACTCAGTCCTTCCATAGCATGTCTAGTTACAGATCCTCCAGATCTAATCCACAAACGTTTAGGCATCAGTTCAACCTTGGGATTTCGTTATTTTGTTAGTTTTATTGATGATTATTCAAGATGTACTTGGCTTTTCTTAATGAAAGATCGTTCTGAGTTAGTTTCTATATTCCAGAGTTTCTGTGCTGAAATCAAAAACCAATTTGGTGTTTTTATTCGTATTTTTCGCAGTGATAATGCCATAGAATATTTATCTTCTCAGTTTTAGCAGTTTATGACTTCTCAAGGAATTATTAATCAGACATCTTGTCCTTATACCCCTCAGCAAAATGGGGTTGCTGAGAGAAAGAATAGACATCTTATTGAGACTGCTCGCACACTTCTAATTGAATGTCGTGTTCCGTTGCTTTTTTGGGGCGATGCAGTTCTCACAACTTGTTATTTGATTAATCGGATGCCTTCATCTCTCATCAAGGATCAGATTCCATATTCAGTATTGTTTCCCCAATCACCCTTATACTCTCTTCCACCCGTGTTTTTGGGAGCACGTGTTTTGTTCATAACTTAGCCCGTGGGAAAGATAAGTTAGCTTCTCGTGCTCTCAAGTGTGTCTTCCTTGGTTATTCTCGTATTCAGAAGGGATATCGTTGTTATTCTCCAAATCTTCGTAGGTACCTTATGTCAGCTGACGTCACATTTTTTGAGCCTAAATCTTTTTTTTTACCTCTGCTGACCACCATGATATATCTGAGGTCTTACCCATACCGGCCTTTGAGGAGTTTACTATAGCTCCTCCTCCACCTTCGACCACAGAAGTTTCACCCATACCAACCGTTGAGGAGTCTAGTGTTGTTCCTCCTAGATCACCAGCCACATAAACACCACTCTTGACTTATCATCGTCGTTTGCACCCTACATCAGGCCCAACTGGTTCTCGTCCTGCACTTGACCCTGCTCCTACTGCGGACTTGTCTCTTCCTAGTACACCGATTGCACTTCGGAAAGGTATACGGACAACACTTAAGCCTAATCCCCATTATGTCGGTTTAAGTTATCATCGTCTGTCATCTCCCCATTATGCTTTTATATCTTCTTTGTTCTCAATTTCCGTCCCTAAGTCTACAGGTGAAGCGTTGTCTCATCCAGGATGGCGACAGGCTATGTCTGCTTTACATACAAGTGGTACTTGGGAGCTTGTTCCTCTTCCTTCAGGTAAATCTACTATTGGTTGTCGTTGGGTTTATGCAGTCAAAGTTGGTCCCGATGGCCAGGTTGATCGACTTGAGGCCCGTCTTGTTGCCAAAGGATATACTCAGATATTTGGGCTCGATTACAGTTATACCTTCTCTCCCGTGGCTAAAGTCGCATTAGTCCGCATTTTTCTATCCATGGTTGCGGTTCTCTATCAGCTGGACATTAAGAATGCCTTTCTTCACGGTGATCTTGAGGATGAGGTTTATATGGAGCAACCACCTGGTTTTGTTGCTCAGGGGGAGTCTCGTAACCTTGCATGCCGCATGCATCGGTCACTTTATGGTCTAAAGCAGTCTCCTTGAGCTTGGTTTGGTAAGTTCAGCACGGTTATCCAGGAGTTTGACATAACTCGTAGTGAAGCTGATCACTCTGTGTTTTATCAGCACTTTGCTTCAAGTCTCTGTATTTATCTGGTAGTTTATGTTGATGATATTGTTATTACTGGCAATGATCAGGATGGTATTATCAATCTGAAGCAGCATCTCTTCCAACACTTCCAAACTAAGGATATAGGCAGATTGAAGTACTTTTTAGGTATTGAGGTTGCTCAGTCTAGCTCAGGTATTGTTAATTTTCAAAGAAAATATGCTTTAGACATTCTTGAGTAGACAGGGATGATAGATTGCAAACCTGTTGACACTCCGATGGATCCGAATTCCAAATTTCTGCCAGGACAGGGGGAGCCGCTTAGCGATCCTGCAAGCTATAGGCGGTTGGTTGGTAAATTAAATTATCTTACAGTGACTAGACTCGACATTTTTTATCCTGTGAGTGTTGTAAGTCAGTTTATGAATTCTCCATGTGATAGTCATTGGGATGCAGTTGTTCGCATTATTCAGTATATAAAATCGGCTCCAGGCACAGGGTTACTGTTTGAGGATCGAGGTCATGAGCAGATCGTTGGATACTCAGATGTTGATTGGGCAGGATCACCTTCTGATAGACGTTCTACGTCTGGATATTGTGTTTTAGTAGGATGAAATTTGGTGTCTTGGAAGAGCAAGAAACAGAATGTAGTTGCTCGGTCTAGTGCAGAAGCAGAATATCGAGCAATGGCTATGGCAACATGTGAGCTAGTCTGGACCAAACAATTGCTCAAGGAATTGAAATTTGGTGAAATCAGTCGGATGGAACTTGTGTGCGATAATCAAGCTGCCCTTCATATTGCATTAAATCCGGTGTTCCATGAGAGAACTAAACACATTGAGATTGATTGTCACTTCGTTAGAGAAAAGATACTTTCAGGAGAAATTGCTACAAAGTTTGTAAAGTCGAATGATAAGCTTGCAGATATTTTCACCAAGTCTCTCACTGGTCCTCGTATTGGTTATATATGTAACAAGCTCGGTACATATGATTTGTATGTACCGGCTTGAGGGGGAGTGTTAGTTTACAGGTATGTATAGTATAGTCTTGCCCCACATTGGATGAGGAGTAATATATCCTTGTAGTGTATAGCTATAAATAGGGACATCTTGTATTGTATTCATTATCTTATGTTATTAATGTAGCGTGTTGCCTTATTCAACCAACACCACAATTTTCTCTTATTTCTTTTTTTCATTCTTTTCCACTAGAATATTTCTGATTTGTATGTTTGCAGATTCCTGATGTCAGAACAGGCGACGACGTAATAGATGCCGTTGTAGTTGATGAGGAGTCTGTCGGAGCTGAGGGGCGAGGATGTGGGGCTAAAATCCTTTATGGCAAGGGTGCATTTGATCGCCACTTTTCACAGAATAGACCAAAGGATTCTGAGGTTAGTTTAACCTTGCATGATCTAGGATATATGTGATACGATGGAAATCATTTCATGAAAATGTTTTCCATTAGGAAGTTCATTTTCTGGCGTTTCGTCTGGAGGAAGTCATTTTCCAAGAAAAATATTTTCCATCAAAACGGAGAAAATCCTTCCCTCACTTTTCGGCAGAAGTCATTTTCCTTACGAGTTACGACTATCTTTTCTTCAATTAGTCAAAAAGTTTCATTGACAAACACCAAGTTGGTGTCGATTAATTTTCCTAACAACTATCTTAAACCTTTAACTTCATATTAGTTTCTTCAGCTAACACTTAAACATTATTATTAATCTTTATTACCTAAAATTTTCATTGAAATGCTCTCCGATTTGCTAATGTTATTATTAATCTTTAATAGGAGTGCTTTTCTATTTTCTATTCACCAACCAAATATTTGAAAAACATTTTCCATAAAAAATGACTTCCGTCATACCAAACATACTAGAATTTTCTGTTTTGTTGTAAATACAATGTCAAATCATACTATTAAGGGTCCTTTTCGTAACAAACAATTATACAGGGATTGTAATATAAGAATTAGTAATATATGGTTTACACTGCAAAGATTAGTAGTGCAAGGATTAGTAATATATGAATTAAAATGCAACGATTATTAGAGGGTGTTAATGATGGGTTTGAGGAAAAGACAAAGGATAATTTTGTCTTCTGTGTTTAATCCATGGAGTATTACTTAATTCATGCACTGTTGTCCCATGCTATATTACGTAATAAACATCAATTGGTGTATTAAATTATATTAGGATTAACTATGCAAGATTCAAAATACAAACCAAACACTGGATAAGAAATTCCAAATTTTATACCATGCATATTTCATCTTATACCTCAAGCAAAACAAATCCTTAACGTTTTTCCTGTTGTACTACTACAGACAAACCTGGAGGGGTCTGACGGAGACCACGAGACGGAACAAGAGCTTCCTTCCATTGTTGCTTTGTAAATGTTCTGTGAGGTGTATTTCTGGTCTCAATTATGTACAGTAATCTAAATTCAAATAAACAGTGTTAATTTAATAAGCTCAATGTGCTTTCATACTGCATTTTTGTTGTGTTTTACTGTTATCTTGCTATTTATTCTTTGATCTACTCCAGCTATAATTCTGAAGTTAGAACCATCCTCCTCAACTTTCCTCTTGGCCATTATTTGAACAGACCATGCTCTTATGTGCTAGTCATCATTTAGAAAGGGTTGAGGGACTGTTAATTCTTTTCGCTCGTCCCTTTTATATCATAGTGTTTGGAAGACGGTTTCTCCAAATGGCCATCTTTAATATTCGCTTGAATGGCCCCCGGGGCTTTGGCCTAGTGGTAAGAGTGCAACACATGATATGTGGAGGTATGTTATTGGTGGATTAGGCGTGTGTGTGTCACTAGTTCGAACCTTAACGCATACAAAAGCTTGATATTTAAGTATTACCCTATATGTTCCAATTGGCTAAGACACAGAAGAGCTGTAATCGTTTTGAATATTGCACGTAGAATGATAGTGATAGCAATTTGGGTGGGACCTTAATTGGACAGAGTAATGAGGTGTATAAAATGATATGTTTTGGTACATTCTGGCAGTTATTTGAACCATAAGATTTCTTTTTGTATTATTATAAGTTTGGGAAAATCGGCACGCAAAGGTGAGAGTGGCCTAGTGTAGAAAGTAAAAGGTGTAAGCAGTTCCATAATTTTGTTGTGACTACTATTCACCAAACTCGTGCACCAATTATTGTCTCTTTTCTGTTTCCTTTTTGCCAGTAACTTACGTTTCTACCCCACCATTGCCTTTCTAGACATCTTTTAATGGGAATTATCATTAAAATACGTACCAATGAAAGTTTGGTTACTAAAAATATTTGTCTCAAAAGTTCAAGATAAAATATATTATATTTTTTCTTTTTTACCCTTAATAATTAATTATCTTAGAAGACTACAAACACATTACTTGTGGATAATTTTATTCAAATACCAAGAAGTATACCTTGTAATCTTAACCACTTTAATCATGTTTACACTAATGCAATCAATGTTTTAAATACCAAAGTTCTTTATAAAGTATATTCAAACTTTTGAAGTTCTGTTAGAGTACACGTAATGAAAGAATATATGAAGATTCAATACATTGTGAAGTTGAAGCCAATGTTAAGAATACTCGCCTCTGTATTTAAATTCAAAAACAATTGATTCACAAAAGACGTTCTAACTCTTTGATAGGTAAATTCAATATTTTTGTCAGGAATAGTTTCTGTAGTAATATTTAGATCAGGAATTTGTGGTCTAACACCATTAGCAATATGAAGTTCAGCAGGCATATTTAGATCTATTTGGATCAATGAAAATTGATGACTTTGTGTTAGATCCATGTTCATTTCAACAATTTAGTGAAGCATTCTTTTTTATAGAAAATTTTAGGTGGGGAATGTTAAATTTTCAAATGGGACTAAAGTAACTTTCGTTAAATTTTTTGGCTCCACAATAGTTTTAGTTGGAATTTTTACAAAACATGTTTGAAATTTTGTTTGAAGGAAAGATGAATGCCATTTAGCTGTTAGAAGAGTTTGCATTACTGATTTGTTAATTATCCTAGGTGTCTATTCATATATTCTATAAAGCAAATCAATTGCATTCACATTTAGTAAAAATATGGATAATGTCATTGATGGAGATGACACATAAATTGAGCAAATATTAAATAAGGGTAATAGTCAAAAACTATTATTTCTTAAAGGGTGTGCACAAGAGAATCACGACACATATTATGAGACAGAGGGAGTAATAATTGATGGTGCATATCTTGCGGTTCAAACTTCAAAGTTGGGCATAAAAATTCGAACCCGCGCCTAGTTTCATACTCCCTCCGTCCCACACTATTTGGCATTCTTCCTTTTTTAATCGGTCCAAAAAGTATATCATCTTTTTATATTTAGTAATAATTTAACTTTAAAATATACATTGTATTCTTAACTAGATAACTTGCGGTCATACAAATATCTATAGCTTATTCGAGACTATAAATTTTAAAAGTTATTTTTTTATTTCTTAAATTATATGTCCAATTAAACTCGTCACATAAATTGGGAAGGAAGGAGTAATTTGAACTATCTATGCATTATCCAAGATTATCCTCTTTAGATAAACTTCGTAGAAAATCCAAAGAAAGTTAGTGACACAACACTCGAAAAAATTATTTTTAGTCGTTATTTTACTCGTAAGAGCACAATGTATAAGTGGATTAGATACATGTCACGAATTCGAATCTTTCGGCAAATAAAAGCAAAGAAGGATAAATAGGCGGGTCTTTTATCCATTGAGTTTTGAGTTTTTTGTAGTTAGCTCATTTTTCGGTTATTAAAAAAAAATATGAATATTGTTCAAGAGGAGATCTAGTTGGCGATTATTGGTAATCATAGAAAATCAGTAAAAGAATAAGTTCTGCATTTCAGAGCTATTTCTGTTTTTGCGCAACTGAAAAAGCGATATATCATTGACTCAAGATAAGTAAATAAATTGGCAAATAACACTGGCATTCACAGGCCGACAGTGGCAATGATTCTATTTCTACCCGCAAAATTTCTGTTTTTGGTTCCAAAGAATATGTTATGCCAAATAGTAGTAAGGTTAAGATTGCGTGGAAACTGTGGCAAAAACGATATATACTCTAGTGCAAATTATATTTATTCCCTAAAGGAAACTACTCTCTAATTTTGTACATTTAAATTCTTAGTCTATACTCGATAACAATTAAACTCTCATACATATGTATAGGAAAACTCGCAGACCTGTTTGTCTATGCAAATTTTTTCCTTTTTTGGTTATATATTTCATTGAATTTTTGATGATGAGTTTCAACTTAACTTTAAAAATTACCTTTTTTTTTCATATCTCACATTTTATTATGTTCAAACACCTAGTGTTTCTAGATATCTTTTATATTTAAAGGACTTATTAGTCTTAACATATCCCTTCCACTTTGTTTTTGTGGTGCGTCATATACTTTTAAATTCCAGTCGAATTTTACCGACATTTTTTGGATGAAATTTTAAATAAGAACGGTGAGAAATAATTTTTTTAACATCATGGCGTTCACCTGCAGTCCACCGTCCATAAAGAAGTCGGCTCTTTTAAAGTTATTTGTTGCTGGATTTTTTAAATATGTTGCTTAAATAAAATGGGTAATAATAACATAATTAGTTGTACCGAAGTATGACTTAATTCCTAATTAATCCATAAATGCATGTATATCATGCTGTTATTAAACTTTTAATAGTTTTTAATGGATCCACCGCAAAATACCCATATTTAATGATAAGAAAATTAATAGCAAGTGTGGCTCCGCCCTTAGCTATAGCAGGGACCTAGAAGTTTTTCCTTTTTAAAGCCTGCGAAAACGATTTTCATATTTCCATATTCAATGGCTACACCAGAAAAATATTACGTAATTTATTATAATGAAGTAAAAATCGAGTGTGTGTGTGTATATATATATGCAATAACTTATATCAAGTATCCATTAGATTGATATAAATATCAAATGTAAGTAATTGTTCTTCTAGAGTTAATTTTTATTTTTCTATCTGCAGTTAAATAAAATACGGATAATATACCATTTTCAAAAGACCAAAAAGGAAAACAATAAGCGCCAAATAGCTGTATTGGGAATTTCAGATTGGCATATTGAACCCAAAAAATCACATCAAACAGGTTATGCAATAATTTTTTTTAATATTCGTCAAAAGCAACAATTAGGAAAAATCATTGGCCGTCAGATAAAGATCTAACAACAATTTATGTCGGGAATATGACGGTGATCCTCATTTCTCTCACACAAAATTCAGGTGCAAAGAGAGAGAAGAAAAGAACCTCTTTTTCAGGGCTTGTTTGGTTTGGTTCTTCCTCAGAATCCATCAAAAAACCCGATCTTTCCTTTCCTTTCTCTTCTCCTTTTTTTCCAGTTTTTTTCTTTCAAATTCTATTGTTAAGAAATGTGAATTTTGCAACATGCGATTTGTGACTTGTAATTTATTGGGTGGGGAGAAAAAGATTGAATCTTTTCTCTGAATTTGATAAGAAGGAATGGAAATGGAGAGCATAGAGTGTGTGTCGTTATCTGATGGCATAGAAGATGAAGAGATCCAGTCTTCTTTTTCTTCTGCAAAAACTCACAACATTATTCCTTCCGGAATTGCCCCTACTAGTGTCCATGAATTGCTTGAATGCCCCGTTTGCACCAATTCTATGTACCCTCCTATTCATCAGGTCTTCTCTTTTTTATTTTTTCTCGACTTTTCAAATTACCTATTGGTAGTATTTTTGTCCCTTTTATGAACGTCTGTTTTTTAGGTCTTTGAGTTTTTTGATTATTAATTTTTACTGTTCTATTGATGGATAATGATGCAAATATGTTGGAAACTGTATGTTGATCTTTGTGCTATTGGTTTTACCTTAAAGATGACTTCTTTAGAATTTCAAGTGCTTTTTTTACTGTCTTTAGGAATATTGTGAAAACTTTAGGTAGATGTAAAGCAGATAGTTTGACTGTGGTATGCTGAGGATTATGTTCCTTGAGAATTTGATTAGGTTTTTATCAACTTCATAAAGATTGAAGAATTTATAATCAACTTGCCGCAGCTTGAGTTCTTGAAAATGAGTGCAGATTATATGATATGCGATATACTTTTGGCTTTTTGCCAAATGGCGGCAACTGAGTTTGGCTATTCTGCAATTGGTTTAGTTACTCTATCTTTTGAGTTTAGGAGGGATGATTTGCTGCCTCAAGCCTGTCCAATAAACAAATCAGCCTTATGACCTCTGTACTTTGATTTGAATCCTTCTATGAGTAGGTAAATGAGAAAGATTAGTCAGCTCCTTGCATCCAAGGGTGTGTCCCAGTAGTCAATAAAGTGGATGAAAACTATGTGAGACTATAGATCAAATTTTAGCATAGATAAAAAAGAAATGTCAAGAATCGTGAGACTTTGAATGCCAAAACCTTGAAAGCAAATAAGGGCCTCTTTCCATCCATAGAATCTCTTCCTTATGCTAGCACTTTCAG